GTCTATGTTAAATACTTTAACAGCAACTATCTTTTCATTTGGAAGAACTGCTTTGTATACTGATCCAAAACTTCCATAGCCAAGAAGATTGCTCTCATCAAATCCATTTGTTCCTTGTAGAAGTTCATAATAGGATATCCTTGGTGGTGCATCCAAATTTGTTAAATCCATTTTGGTTGTATAGTTAGGCATCATCTCTGTTATGCTTTAGAAAGATAATGCTTGTAACAAATAAAATGAAAAACATGATAGGCACTAAGCATTTTATCACCAGTATCACTTTATTTAATATGTGCTTGTTTCCTCCCTTGCATGGTTGGACCTGTAGTTGTGATTTTCCACAAAGATCTTTATTCATCATAAAAGATTGGGCAGTAAAATTTTGAAAAGGACCACCACTTGGAATTTCTCCATCCAAAAGATTGTAGGAAAGATTAATGGATTTAAGATAGAGAAGTGACTCTAAGGACTTTGGAATCATACCAAACAAATAATTATGAGAAAGATCTATCGACTCAATACTTATCATACCGCTTAGCGATCCAGGTATACATCCTTGTAATTTGTTGTGAGCCAAAGATAGGCTTTGCAAAGTTATCAACCCGCCCATAGTTGTAGGGATGCTTCCTGAAATTTGGTTTCTTGACAAATCCAATAGTAAAATTGCTCTCAAGTTTGATACCTCTGGTGAAATTATTCCCCTCAATGCATTGGAAGATATATCTAAAACCAAAATATCTTTAAGACTCCAAAGAGAAGAGGGTATATGAGAAATCAACTTGTTAGAGCTAAAATTCAACTTCCGCAAAGAAGTATTTCCAAGACATCCTGGAATTGCTCCCGAAAACATGTTGCTAGCAAGATTCAACTCACTTAAACCATTAAGATGGCAAAGTTCTTTTATAATGAACCCTTGCAACATGTTGTTACTTAGACTTAACTGTTGAAGGTTATGTAATATGTTGATTGTGTTTGGAATCAACCCTGTGAAATGATTCTCATCCAAGTTTAGTTGTACCAAGTTTGTTAAATGTTTGACTGCAGTGGGTATAGCTCCGCTAAATTTATTGGATGACAAATCTAACTTAATGAGCTTAGATGCATTTGATATGCTGTTTGGAATTTGTCCAGTTAATTCATTCTCATTCAACCATAACTTTTGCAAGTTGGAAAGACCAAATCCTAAATATGATGGGAGAAGGCCAAAGAGGAAATTATGTCCCAGGCCTAATGACACCAATGTTGAAATGTTGAATATACTGGAAGGAATAGGTCCATTCAAATTGTTCCATCCCAAATCTAACCTTTCAAGATTAACAAGATTGCCTATATCCTTGGGTATATAACCTACAAACAAAAAATTGAATGGACTCGTTCAAAAAAACCAAAATAGGTAATAGTGTTTGCAGATAATGTACACGTATACTATAACATTGAAAACTACACTTCTCTTACTTATTTCAAAAAATTAATATTTTTTCATGTTGAATATATTAAAAAGAATAGGTCCATTCAATTGATTTAGGGTCAAGTCTAACACATTAAGTTTATCAATATTGCCTACGTTTTTGGGTACAAAACGGGGACATTAAAAAATTGATGGAAATGACGACTTTTATAAAACTTAGATAAGAATAAATAAAGATAAATTTATTTTTTATTATTTCTTAAGTCTTTGTAAAATTTTAAAAGTAGAGAACTTCTAGAAAAATAATAAATTACTAGAGATGCCATTGTTATAGAATATTTTTTAAAATTAAATTTTTTGTGTTGTAAGCATTGAATAATGATTTAGTAGGAAATTAATAAATTTGTGAAATAGAAACGAAACAATTGAAAAAATTGACAAAAGGAAATTAAATGTTATTTTGGGATTGGGTGAATGAAATGCCCGAACACAATATCTCCTTTTAGTTTTACTCTACTAGAAAATTGATGGAAATATAAAGCTTAGATAAGAATAAATACAGATAAACTTATTTTTATTATTTCTTAGGTCCGTTTAAAATTTTAAAAATAGAGAAATTATAGGAAAAACATAAATTACTAGAGATGCCATGGTTATAGAATATTTTTTTAAAATTAAAGTTTTTATGTTGTAATTATTGAGTAATTATTTAGTAGGAAATTAAAAAATTTGTGAAATAGAAAAGAAACAATAGAAAAAAGAAAATTAAATGTTATTTTGGGATTGTATGAATGAATGAAATGCCATAAAACAATATCTCCTTTTAGTTTTACTCTACCGGAGAAAATGATCTAAAAGGGAAAAAGCAAAAGAAAATCATAGACTACCATCAATTGACGTTTTGATCTTTGATATTTTGAGATTGTAAATCAGTAGCTATATTTAAGCCCCGCTAAGAATATGTGTAATATTAATAAAATGATGAAAAGAAAAATATCGTTTTAAATTTATTCTGTTAGAGAAAATGATAAAAAGAAGAAAATAATAAAAATAAGATATAATAATCTCATGATATAATAAATTTATTCTATTAGTACCTATAATTACTGCTTGTAAAAAGATTGAATGGATTTGTAAGAAGACAAATAAAACAGGCTACGTTATATGCAGATACTATAACATACAAAACAACACGTGTCTTGCAGATATTAAAAAGGCAGAAAGAAAATTCATTATAAATTTTTCGCGCATTGCCAGTAAATCATGTGTTGCAAATAGAATTAAACTATTCGGCAATTTATCCCTCCAGGAAATTACTATGTGAAAAACTTTAATTTGAAAAGCTTTATTGGCAATGCGCAATGTGTTTAACAATAATTCTAAAAGTTACGTTAAATATGTTAAAAAGAATTTCAAGTAATACTCATTTCAACCATATGTGTAAAATGTACGAAGAAAAAATTTAGAAATGAAAAAAAAAAAAAAAAAAAATCATAAATTACACTTAAGCTGAAATGACTAGTATTTCTTCTGAAAAATAAAATTTTTATACTGTAATTATGGAATAAGTTTTTACTTTGAAATTAATGAATTTGAAAAATAAAAAATTCAAAAAGAAGCACAACAGATAAAAAATGGTACTCTGCAATAAGTTTAATTTCACAACGTGCAGTGCAGACCGGTTCTTCTATGTGTTGAACAACTAAAATATCTCATATTATTCTTCATGAGTTTGAGTTATATTTAAATTTTTATTTGATTTCTATATTATAATTTGTAATTGATTTTTATATCCATTTTAAAAAAAATCTTTTGTTTATTTCAAATTTTTAATTCATATGCTGTGATTCTTTTAGGGTCTTTTTGGTTCAATGAGAGGAAGGGGAGGGGATGGATTTTAACGGAGGGAAGGGAGGGGAGAAGAGTAGAAAGATTTTAATATTACCTTGTTTGGATTTATAAAAAAAGAGATGAGGGGAGGAGTTTTAATATTACCTTGTTTTGTTCATGAGGGGAGGGGAGGGAAAAATATTTTGACATGAACAATTTTGCCCTCCCCTCCCCTCATGAGATAGAATTTTCATGGAGGGAAAAATATTTTCAAATTTTATAGAATGTTTAATAAAATATAATTGTAAATAACATTTAATATATTGAGTAATACTTATATCAAATTTCTAATATACTCTGGAGCATAAAGTATTATTGAAAAGAAGGCTGAAGTAAAGTTCAGCCACAACTTGTACTACATCCCATCTTTGAATGAAATATTTGATCATGCAAAAGAAAGAGTAGCGTTTGGAGACAAGAAGAAAAGGACTTGGGATAGTATAGGGATATTAAAAATAAATATGGGTATAATAGTCACAACATGACAAAATATTGCCATTTCCCTCCGAATCCTCCCATCGTTGGAGGGGAGGGGAGGGGAGGGGAGGGGAGGGAAAATTGTTTAAAATTTTAATTTTAATTAAATGATAGAGTTGTTACCGTGTGTTTGTGTGTGTATAGAAAAGAAGAAATTATCAAATATTATTAAAAATGGTATGTTTGCGAATAATTCTAAAACTTACGTTAAATATATTAAAAAGAATTTCAAGTACTACTCATTTCAACCAAAAGAGTAAAATGTACCAAGAAAATTTTTTTAATTTGTTCAAGTCTTTGTAAAATTTAGAAATGAAAAAAATTAGGAAAATCATAAATTACACTTGGGGTGAAATGACTGGTGTTTCTTTTGAAAAATAAAAGTTTTTGTACTGTTAATTATTGAATAAGTATTTAATTTGAAATGAACGAATTTGAAAAATAAAAAACTGAAAAAGAAGCATAACAGATGAAAAAATGTACTCTACGATAGAGAGGAAAAAATATAAAATTAAAGTTGCCAGGAAACAGATAAAACGTGAAAAAAAAAAGTAGTGGCATATAATAAGTATGTATGTTGCAATTAAATTTGGTTGAACAAGCATTTTATGAGTTGCATTTATTGTATGTTTTGTAATTGATCTTTCATACATATCTAAATAATTATTGTTTATTGCACAATTTTTAATTATTATGTTGTAATTTTTTTAAAATACTATAATTTTAATTCCAATTAAACAACGTTGAATTGTTACAATTTATATATATAATAAATAAGTAAAACCGACTCCAAACTTTTCTGTATTTTAATATTGTTTAAATATTAAGATGAAAGAAAAAAAATAAAATTAAAATAATTAAGAGACATAAAATATCTTGGCAAAAAAGTATTGTATTGTTTGGAGTTTTGTCATCAAAGACCATATGTGAGGATTTCGTTTTTCTTTGTTACAAATTTTACGACATCCATCTGTTCATGATTGCGATTTTCGAGAAAAACAAAATTCCACTTTAGAGAAACATATTAAAAAAGAAAGAAAACACTTAAGCGTACCTGTAAACGAGTTATCACCCAAATATAATTCTTTCAAAGATGTTCAGTTGCTTATTGACTGTGGAATGCTTCCTTCTAATTGATTATCAACAAAACTAAGGATTGCAAGTAAAGGGAGATGATGACACATTTCTTCAGGCAAATTACCCTTTAAATTATTGACGCCAAGAACAATCTTTCTCAAAGAAGGCATGTTCCAAAGAAATGAAGGAATTTCACCTATAAATAAATACAAAATATTTGTTAATTACTTGGTAGTATGGCAAGCATGTTCCTAATAAATTCGTCCGTACACAAGCATATAAATAATACGAGGAATTTTGGTAATTAGATACTTAAAATTAGTAGAAAATAATTTATTTTTTGTTGGACTGTAGTCTAAAGGGGACCCTTTCAATATTAATGGCAAATTGCTGAACATCAGAGACTATGAAATTAATCTCATCTAATGTAAAATGTACATCCAAAGTATTTAAAAAGGCTCTAACTTTAAGATATGAGGATGAATTCATCATAGGCAAAAAAAGGACTGAAATTTTAGTTTTTCTTTAAGGAATTAAAATACTTTTAGTTACAAATTTTGGAGATAAAGCATAAAATTAAAGATGAAATTTCACCCATTTTAATATGAAAGTGGATGAGATGCGAGTTATTTAAATGTTGATGAGAGAATTAGAAATATTATGAAATCTTTTCAAGTACAAGTCCTATCATCAAACAGAAACAAACAATATATTGATAGCCAACACATACTTATTCTACTGATCCAAAATTAAATTTTATTTCTCTTTTTAAAGACATTTTTGCTGGGGTAAAAATTGGGAGGTATCCCTGAAGATTACTATACCACATCACACACTGATAGTCCACAAAGTTTTTCAAACCTGTTTTTATAGGTCTTCTCTAATTTTTTTAATGATCTGACATTATATTTTATTTCTCTTTTTCAGGATTTCTATTATGAATGCAAAATCTTTAATAAGCTTCTCATGATTCTTTAACATGAATGAAAGAAATGAAAAGCAAAATCTCATTTTAAAATTATTTTTCATTCGAGAGATGAAAACAAAAACAAAAACAAAAACACACACACGATCTAAGACAATCATATAACTAAAACTATTACCTTGCAAATTGTTGTAGTTCAGATCAAGAATTTCGAGGCTTGTCAGATTTCCAATCTCACTTGGAATGATTCCTGGACAAAGTATATATGAAGTCGTTTTATTGATCAAAGTCTACAAATGATGTGGTAGATTAAGACTAAAATTAAAAAAAATTGTTTTCCACATTTTAAATATAGCAAGTGGTCCCATCAGCCCATGATCTTACCTTTTCTTTATTTTGGCATTGTAATATTGTTGCATATAATATACACAAATAATAAAGAAACTTCACGTGTCTTACGTACCCATTTCAACAACTTGAACATGTGTGCTATACTGATTAATCCATGCATAAATATTAAAAAGGGAAAAGGCAAATTTCCTCTAACCATCAAATTTCTTACCTTTTAATATTGCAAATGAGTATATTAAGTTTATTATATAACTTTTATGCATTGCTAATTAATCATGTACGGCATAAAGCATTAGACTACTCTTTCAGCAATTTATCTCTTTTGTTTTGTGCAGTTTCAGTGAGAAATTATTAAGTAAACTTTGCTCTGTTTAATGAATCGACATTTTTTTATGTAATCTCCCATGCTTTCTCCCTCATGTTGATTTTTCATACTTCTTTTAATTTTAAAATAAAATAATGATTAAGAAGTTATTAGTGGAGAGTTTTATGTTGAAGATAATTATTATCAATTGAACCTACCGAATAATTCCACTTTATAATTATTCACAATTGATATTTTATAATTATTTTATTTAAATAAATTTCTTTTTTATTGTGATAAACAAGGAAAAACGCACCTGCAAACTTTTCTGTTTTTAGTATTAAACTTATCCCATCCTACAAATAAGTCGAGAACTTGCCTTAAATATAACAAAAGAATTTCAAGTAATACTCATTTCAATTCGGAAGAGTAAAATACAAAATAAAAATTATTCTTTACATTAATATCAAAATTTTAAAAAAAATTAAAATAAAAAATTATCAAAATTATTTAATTTTTTGTTGGTAGGAATCATTTAATTTGAAATTAATAAATTTGAAAAATAAAAAATTACATGTGGGCAAGTGGGCACATTATACGCTGAGTAAGAAATTCTGTTTTTGAAGTGGGCCCATCAGCTCATTTGATGAGGTCATGATCCTATCTTTCCGTTATTTTGGGATTGTATGAAGGAAAAATGGCAATAAAACATTATTTAAAAAAATGGGAAATAAAAACCCTAATATGTGAAATTGTGATTCAGGACCCTTAATTTGAAAAATAATAAATAATGACCTGATCCCATATTACAAATATAAAATTTTGGTAAAATGTCTGAAATGACTAGTATTGCTTTTGAAAAATAAAAGTTTTTATACTGTAATTATTGAATAAGTGTTTAATTTGAAATTAATGAATTTGAAAAATAAGACATTGAAAAAGAAGCATAACAGATAAAAAAAATGTACTCTACGATAGAGAGGGAAAAAGTATAAAATTAAAGTTATTAGGAAACAGATAAAATCTCAAAAAGGTACTGGCATATAATAGGTATCTATGTTGCATTTAAATTTGGATGAACAAGCATTTTATGAGTTTCATTTATTGTATAATTTGTAATTGATCTTCTATACATATCTAAATAATTTTTCTTTATTGTACATTTTTAATTAATACGTTGGAAATTTTTAAAATATTACAATTTTAATTTCAATTACACAATGTTGAACTGTTACAATTTATATATATAATAAATAAGTAAAACCAATTCCAAACTTTTCTGTATTTTAATATTATTTAAATATTAATACAAGAGAAAAAATAAAATTAAAGTAATTAAAAGACAGAAAAAATCTTGATAAAAAAGTATTGGGTGGTTTGGAGTTTGTCGTCAATAGCAAATGTGAGGATTTCATTTTTCTCTGTTGCAAATTGCACGACGTCCATGATTGGGATTTTAAAGAAAAACAAAATCTCATTTGAGAGAAAAATATTAAAAAGAAAAAAACACACAAATAAATAAATGCATACCTGTAAATGGGTTAGTATCCAACTATAATTCTTTCAAAGATGTGCAGTTACTTATTGATTGTGGAATGCTTCCTTCTAATTGATTATCAGTAACACTAAATGCTTCAAGTAAAGGGAGTTGATGACATATTTCTTCTGGCAAATTATCCTTTAAATGGTTATTGTCAAGGCCAACATATCTCAAAGAAGGCATGTTCCAAAGAAATGAAGGAATTTCACTTATAAATAAAATACAAAATATTTGTTCATTACTTGGTAGTACTGCAAGCATGTTCCTAATAAAGTCAGACGCGCACAAGCATGTAGATAATACATGGAATTTTGGTAATTAGATGCTTAAAATTAATATAAAATAATTTAATTTTTGTTGGACCGTAGTTTAAAGGGGACTCTTTCAATATTAATGGCCAATTGCTGCACATCAGAGACTATGAAATTAATCTTATCTAATGTAAAATGAACATCCAAAGTATTTAAAAAGGCTCTAACTTTAAAATTTGAGGATGAACTCATCATAGGCCAAAAAAAAGGGCAGAAATTTTAGTTTTTCTTTAAGGAATTGAAATACCTTTAGTCACACATTTTGAAGATAAAGCATAAAATTAAGGATATAATTTCACCTGCTTCAATTTAAAAATAGATAAGATACGAGTTTTGTATATGTTGACGAGAGAATTGGAAGTATTAGGAAATCTTTTCAAGTACAATTCCTTTCATCAAATAAAAACAAACATTATGTTGATAGCGAACACATACTTATTCTACTGATCCAAAATTAAATTTTATTTTTCTTTTTAAAGACATTTTTGCTGGGTAAAAATTGGGAGGTACCCCTGAAGATTACTATACCATATCATACATTGATAGTCCACAAAGTTTTTCCAGACCAATTCTTACAAGGCTTCCCAATTTTTTTTAATGATCCAAATTATATTTTATTTCTCTTTCCAAAGATTTCTGCTATGAATGAAAAAAATGAAAAGCAGAATTTCATTTTAAAATTATTTTTCATTTGAGAGATCAAAAACAAAAAAACAAAAAAACACAACACGGTCTAATAAGACAAATCATATAATTAAAACTATAACCTTGCAAATTGTTGTAAAGAAGAAATGATTCCTGGAGCCATTTTATTGATCAGAGTATATAAATGATGCTTTTGATATCAAGTGGTCCCATCATTCCATGACTTTACCTTTTCTTTATTTTGACATTGTAATATTGTTTGCATATAATATACATTAAGTAAAAAAGAAACTTCATAAATATTAAAAAGGGAGAAAGCAAATTTCCTCTAACCATCAAATTTCTTTCCTTTTAATATTGCAAATGAGTGCATTAAGTTTAACTATAATTTTTATGCATTGCCAACTAACCATGTACGGCATAAACATTAGAATACTTTTCAGCAATTTATCTCTGCACGCAGGATTTTTTTTTTGTGTGTGCGCAGTTTTAGTGAGAAATTCTGAACAAAAAAGTTCCACATAATGTTTAATGAGTCCACATTTTGTTGTGTGTAATCCCACCTATTTTCTCCCTCGTGTTAATTTTTCATACTTCTTTTAAATTTCAAACTAAAATAATTATTAAGAAACTATTAGTGGAATTTTTTTTTTGTGAAAAGCTTTATTTAATTTTATAAAGAATTGAATGTACTGAATACTTCCACTTCAATATGAATGACTTAAAATAAAACAATTTAATTATTTGTCAGACTATTTAAAACATCTTATATGCTCTCTTTTTTTTATAAGCTTTTTTTCTCAACTGGTTTGAGCTCCACTACGATTGAACTTGTGTTTATTGAATTATTATTGCGTTTAAATTTTTTAAATTGAATTCATTATAATTATTCACAATTGATATTGATATACTTGGTTTATTGAAATAAATGTTTATTGTACTACTAATAAATAAGAAAAAACACAACTGTAAACTTTTCTGTTTTTAGTATTAAACTTGTCCTACCATAAAATTTTTTTCATATATTACTAACTCTGGCATTTCTAAAAACAAGTCGAGAACTTGCCTTAAAAATAATAGGCTACTATCTTCAACCAAAACCAAAATAATAGGCTACTATCAATTCATAATTTGATCTTTTAATATTTTGTGACTGTAAATTATTATTTATATTTAAACCTCATTATGGATATGCATGGAGTTGTGTTAATTAGAGGCTTAAAATTATTAGGAAATAATTTAGTTTTTATTGGAAAGCAATTTAAAAGGGACTTTTCTAATATCAAATAATTCGAAATTAAAGTTTCTTGTAAAGAAGAAATGCTAGAGACAGATAATGGAATTAATTTCACCAATTTTAAATGAACAACAAATTATTTATCTTTTGCATTTAAGTTTTTTAAACCCTGTGTGCAACGGCATAACTTTTCCTGATGTAAATTAGTTAAGAAAAATGGATTGTGTAAAACATATCATGTATACTAGAATCTTCATCACTCTTAAAGCAATTTCAGCTAAAACATTTTGCAAACATTATAGAACAAGCATATTATATATAAGATCACATATAATATTCCGCTTTTATACTATTTATAATGTTTTATCATTCTATAGTATTAATAGATAATTTTTTAAATTTTTTAAGATATATTCCCTTTACATGTCATAAGAACATATGTGATCGACACAAACAAGAAAACACAGGAGAAAGTGAAAAATAAGAACAGAAGGAATGTGATCATCGCAAATGCTGATTAGTTTATTTTTCAATGATTCAGTATTTCATTTTGCGATGAAGAGAAAAAATCAAGTTCCATGTCTTTAGATGTAATTTAATAAAAGTATTATTCATTAAATTTGTAATGCAAATTCGTGACTTATCAAAATTCAAGACAGTCATATAATAATTAAAATTCTTACCTTGCAGGTTGCTGCTGGGAACATATAGCAACTGAAGTTTGGTCAGATTTCCAATCAATTGGTATGTTTCCTCCGTTGAATTTGTTATGCCCCAATTGTAATTCTAATAATTCTGTGCATTGATGCCAAGCAGAGGGTATTTCGCCATCCAAATCATTTCCATTCACATAAAATATTTGTAGCTTTGGAAGCCCAACACACAAATTTGTTGGGAGATTGCCAAATAAGTTATTTATTCCAAGTTGGAAGTCTTGCAGCACTGAATTGTTGAATAATGAAGATGGTAGTGAGCCAGCAAGTTGATTACTTCCAAGATACAATTTCTTCAATTGTGAAAGATTCCCAATCTCACTTGGGATGCTCCCTTCAAATATTAGAGGGGAAACAAAGAGAATAATGTCAGTAACAATTTTTATTTATAATAAGTTATTATGAACATTAGACAATTTTTATTTTTAAAAAACACATATAGTAAAACTTGCACATTTTTGAGAAATAACACAAATTGATTCTAAATGATAAAACACAACTACAATTATTATTTATAAAAAGGAATAACCTTTTCTATTTGGCTGGGCCATTGACCATGGACCAAATAATTTGGACATGTGATTTGTTGAGAAATTTGGACGGTTTAATGTCAGAAAACATAATGGGCTATTCCACAAGGCCCATTACACTGTGTTTTCTTCTTTCCTTCATTTTGTTATGTTTTTGGATTTTGTGAATTCATTAATTCATATTGGGTTCCTCCAATAAAAATTAAGAAAACAAACTAAGAGACACATTGAAATCCCATTGACCCTTCTTTTTCATCATGAGACTCCCAGAAAAATAGTTCTTGCAAACTACAAAATTTTAAAAAAAATAAAATTATTCATTTAGATTATCCAAAACAAAATTAAATGTTTCGAGTATGTTTCTAAGACAGACTTATTTTGAAAAAATAAATCCTTCATAAGCTTTTTAATGACTACATTTATTTTCAAGTATTGATGATGAGCCTTTAGATCCTTTTGGACTAATATTCTTTTCCCCAACCATTTTATAAATTGGATGACGAACTTTTAATTAAAAAAAGAATAGAAAAATTCTGAAAAAAAAGAAATGCATAAAAATATTAAAAAATTTAAAAAAACAATTGAGACAAGCCCGAATTTCTCTAAAAATACCTAACAAACTGTTAAAAGACAGATGAGCTAAGAAATTATATGGATCCAAAGTGATAGAAGATTTAAGAGTAAAAAGTACAGATTTATCAGTAGAATAATATTCGTCTCTGCCCAATTAACAAGAGAAAAAAATGCTAGATTCTTTTTCTTTTTCTTTTTTCATGTTTCACATTGCAGAATTATAAAAAAAAAATAGTTTGATTTAAAAATATCCCTAAATATGTATAAACAGCTAATTACTAAAGACTCAATAAAGCGATAAGATATCATTAATGAAAGTTTTAATGTCGTGTTGTGACTCTAAGTATGGAGGTTGAACTAATTTGTTAATACTGCTAAGATTATTTTTTCTAAAATCATTTTCAGAGCATTGAATCATCATCTTAATCATTTTAAAAGAGCCACCATCCTTGAATGATATGTATATATATATATATATATATATATAAAAATTATTTTTCAGCATGTTTTTTTTGAATCGATGTGAGACTCGTTGACAAATTAGAATGGATTGTCTCTATATTAGAAAAGAAAAACTAAAAAACTTGCAATTAAAAAGAAAATATAGGGGAAAATGAAAAACTAGAAGCTAGAAAAACCGTTGAAATCCCAGCTAATCCTTTTTATCATCCTTATCAGGTTATTTTTTACGGGGCTTCCTGTTTAATGATTCAATATTTTACCGATTTATGAAGATTTTAATTTTAAGCAAGTTATGACCCCACCTTTACATGTGTGTGAAACTTATAACATGAACCAAATGATGGAGAACAAAATCTCAGTTCAAATTTATTTCTATTCCAGAGAAACAAATTTTGAGTACAAATATTCTGTCTACTTCAGTTCTAATTCGTGATTTATTGAAAAGAATGTCGACGACTATATTTTTTCTAAAAGCAGAAACTGATAAGAAACGCGCAAAGATGCCCAAAAAAAATTGAGACTAACCCAAACACATATGATTGAGGATTTATATCCTCATAATTAAATAGACTAGTTTTGAGCAAACACAAATAATATAAGCATAAAAAATAATCTAAACATACCTGACAAACTATTATAAGACAACCAAAGCAACTCAAGCGAAGACAAGTTGGAAACTGTTTGTGGAATTGCTCCTGAAAGTTTGTTCCTTGAAAGTTTTAACTTCTTCAAGTGCTTTAGACTTCCTATCTTTGGTGGGATGGTACCTTCAATGAGATTGGAATTCCAATCTAATGTCTCTAACCTTGATAGATTGAACAGAGATAATGGAATAAATCCATTGAGACTGTTATTTTGAAAACTTAAGTGCTCAAGCAGAGATAAATCTCCTATCCATGTCGGAACTTGTCCATGAAAGTGATTATAGCTCAAATTGAATAGTCTCAATCGACGTAATCGAACTAAGTCTTGTGGGATTTGACCATGAAAGTTGTTTTTATTGAGATCAAGTTCAACAAGGAATGAGAGATTTCCTAGTTGTGGAGATATGGTGCCCTTAAGTTTCATGCTGCTAAGATTCACGGAATGGACCCTTCCATGCTGAGTATTGCATGTGATACCAGCCCAGCTGCATGGAGAAGAAGAGACAGACCAATTAGCTAAAAAATCATATGGATCAGAGGTGATAAAGGATTTAAGAGTAAGAAGTGCAGATTTGTCAGTATTGATGTTCGTATCAATGGAAGCTAAGGTGACTGTTAAGCAAAGAAGCAAGATGATGAGGAAGACAAAGGAGGAAGGTTTTCCCATATTGATCATATCAAACTCATCAGATCTTGCGTAACCACGAACTAACACGCACATCGTTTATACTTCTCCGATTCCCAATCAAGTCAAGTCAAGCTAACAAAACGTATTGTTCCTCCGGAGCGGATGAAAATTCCGTAAATACATATATTTTAACATCTCATTATTCCTTGATTAAATTATCATAACCCAAAAAAGAACAATAAAAAGAAAATAAAGATATAAGAAAATGTAAGTACATTGAAAAGTAAATAAAGATAAAAATTAAATCTAAAAGTTTTAGAAATTTTCTTGTGAAATTATGGAGACATCTATTATATAAGTTATATCCAAAAGATTTCTCTAGTTATTCCAAAATAAACTTCAATTTTCCCAAAGTATATAGCTACATTTTATTACACTTATTTTTCATTTTCTGGGAGATAAAAAATTGCAAAAATTATTTCTGAGGTTTAATAATTATTATTAATATGTTTAGATGTACTTCTTTATGGATTTGATGTCGTAATATATTAAACGTTCGCAATGTTTTAAATTTAACTATAAAAATATCATATTTATTTGTTATACTTTTCGCATTTGCAAATATAACCAAAGACCTCAAAAGTGACCTGTGCATATCTTTTTTGTTGTGGACATATCCTTTTACTGTGTGTTTATCTTTCTAGCCTTTTTATTTTCATAATTTTGAATCGAATTGATGATTATGTAATTAAATGAAATTTAACTTAATTAACTCCAGTACTGACAAAATCAAAGAAAATTTAATTTGTAAAATATTGTAATGGTAATTTTATAAAATATTAAATTTGAAGCTTAAAAAATTGAAAAAAAACATTGATAATGAAAAGAAACTTTGCCCCTTTATTTTCATTTATGGTCAGTCTTGTAGACCATATATGTAGAAAGTAGCTAGTGGGAAGCAGCTGGTGTGGACATATTGTCCCTACCTTTGACAAACATATATATTAAAAGTCTATAGACTCTAATTAATTGGATGTATTATATATCAACAACCTATTCTTTATTAATTGGAGTTCTTGACTTGTTGTGAGTAGACCTCAAAGTCACACCATTTCACACGAAACAACTTGTGTAAAGGTTTACCCAGAGGAAAAATACCACAATTGACTTCAAAAACACATAAATAATGCAGCTTTTAATTTGTTCTCCAGATTTTATATTTTGTATGTGGCAAAAGGAGTATGTACTTTTTTATGTATGTTTTGAAAGGCAACCACTCACTTTGATAATCCACTTTCTAGATCACAAACTTGGAGGGATCACTATATGCAATTTTTTTAAAGCATTTTGAAAAATTATACTGAAGGATAATATCCTAACAAAATTAAGGGTGGTTTAGTTTGTATGAATATAATTAATTTGATAGGTTGTGGATTAAGAGAACCCACAAAAAAACGTTAACTGAGAAGACGTCAAAGAAACAAAACAATTGGCGTGCTTGACGTGCAAGTCACGGTCTGTCTCTTGTGCATTACATTCAAATTTGTATTTTGAATGTTTCCTTTTCAATGATACAAGAAATAGCTTCCTTTACATGTATGTTGAAATTTTATATTGGTTTTGATATCCTTACATTAAATGAGAGTAAAGCAAAGCATGGATGAAATTTTAGAGATTATCTACTTTTTCCTGAATATAAAATATGAAATAATCAATGTAAAAAATTAGCTATAGTAAAGTATGAAACTAATTCAAAACGATAAGAAAATTAATTATTTTGTTGATAATTAATTTAGAAAGAAGAAAGATATAGTGTGCGCGCACAAACAGGCTAAAAATGAAACACATATATTACAATGAAGATCAAATTGAGACAGCAAGCAGGCCATTAGAAAAAAATAATAATAAAAGCTAAGATGTGCATACTTGTTGAGTCTAAAAGCCAAAAAAAAAAAATTGCGTTAGACTTAAATTTGAAAATTTAAATTAATTAACACTCATTTATTATGTAAAAAAAAAACAGAGAAATTCGGTAGATGACCATAAATTCAACAGTACATTATTTGACTTGATGGTCTGAAAGTGCTGCGTACGAAAAAGAAATGAAAAAAAACAATATATAATACAAATCTAAATCCAAGAAAATGTGGCCTAAACGTGTTCTACGAATATCGTCGACCAATTTAAGGAACTTCTACATTTATTAAAAAAATTTAGAAATTTCCACTTAATCTTTCAATTTCACTTTTTAAACATATAAATAAGAGCTTAATTAATTTCTTTGAGACTAGCCAAACAAAGGCATTGGTAATACACTAAAGGCTAAGATTCATTTAGTACCCTAAAACATTTTTGTGGTACAATTTTATCTTTAGATATGACTTGTTGGATGCATCTGCAAAATTACTTTAGTTGCTGAATGAACTACAAAATAATCAAAGATGTTGGGTCAGCAAACAACGAGCAAGTATAAATGAAAGAGGCAGAAAACCTTTTATTTTTTTCACCTGGTCATGGCGGATAGCGAGAATGCACTTTATTTTTATAATATAACATTTTATAAAATTACTAATTTAAAAAGATATCCTTAAATAAATACTTAATTATAATATAATTAAAAAAAGATGTAAGATATCATTGGTCGAAGTTTCAACGGTTATAAAATGGGTTTCTCATTCAAAAATAGAGTTGTACCACTTTTATGTTCCTTTCTTAATTACTCAAGGTTTCAGTGACGAAGGACCCATTTGATATATGCTGCTAAGCTACTTCCTCCATTTCATAATAAATATTATTTCACAAAAACTTTTTTTTTTTTTGCGTGTCTCATAGTAAGTGTCATTTTCATATTTCAAGAAGCTAAGATATGTTCTTTTGCCCACATTTCTGCGCACTCATTAGTGGTCAAACAGTATTTATTTGGAGAGCACTCACTAAGCAGAGGCATGGTAGACTTTTTAGACATTAAGTGGCCCCCAAAAGAAATTAATACAATGAAAGGGAAAGAAAATCATGTTAGTGATAAGGAAAATTAAAACTTTGATCCTATAAATAGTTTGTTACCACATTAAGGACGGTATTTTTATTATCATTGTATTTTATGGGCCATAGAGTAACTTTATAAACTACATTAGTGTTGAAAAGAACGCTTGTCCTTTTAAGAAATGTAATTTTACTTATTAGACCACATGTTTATTTTCATTGTATTATTTCATTTATATTTGGTCTTGTGGGCCATATATAGAGAATAGCTTCAAAATAACGTTACTACTTGGAAGAAGCATACGCGGACATATTGTCCCTACTCTTCACATACATAAATATCAAAAGTCTATAGACTTTAATTCATTGGAATAGACCTCAAAGTCGCGCACCATTTCACACGAAGCAATGTCTAATTTCTTTCGTTAGCTAGAGATTATCCCAAAAGAATGTTGGCTAGGAGACGTCAAAGAAAAAACTGAAGATAAACATTGATGAATACTCGATCGTTTGAGATGTGTTATCGTCAAGACGATGAGATTTGAACTGATCCAATTTTTGATTCTTCGATTTTAAACTGAAAAGGAAAAAATAACAGAGAGAGAAGGGCTGGCAATCGTACCTGTTTTTCTTTAACATCAAAGCTGTTATTTATGTTAATAGATCAAATTTTATTTTTAACGCCTTTTGCTTGTGATTTTCTTGACCTGAGGCGTTCTTTATACTTTCCGATCATCCAAAACCTGTCACTGTTTCCAGCATTGTTTAAAAGGTCATCTGAGTATCAGTAGTTGGCACAGTGAGTTAATTGGATCCGTGAACAATTTAAATTTTTTACCCAATTGTATTAAAAGGATTACTTACTTTTATATGTAATATGGGTTGATTTGTCATATAAACTAGCGTCTTCTCTGTAATTTGATGGTCACTGTGTTTTGACACTTATGTCAAGATGAACGCAACCAATGCACAACTTCTAATTGTATACTTACACATGGGAAGGTTGTATATTTAAGAATGCAGATTATAACGTGAGTCCACTTCTTCATATCAGCGGTTTAATTTGACATTGATTACTCTTTTGTTGAATCAGCCGTACTCTCTCAAAATTAATCTGACATTGATTACCCTTATTAACTATGCTAAAAAATATTTAATGCTACTAAATATCTTAGAAAAATTTTATAGAGTAACCTTTCTAGTCATATGCATTGTAACTACCTCTTGATAGAAACATCTTTATCATGAACAATCAGTGGGGACACTTAAGAAAAAATTACAAATTTAGGAGATAAGGTAGACTAACATCTTATATTTTGAACCAAAACAAACTCTTTATCTAATTCTTACATTAAAAATTAAAAGTAGTATTATTTCATTTGTGGTCGGCTCCAGTAGATTTTAAAAATTAACCCCACAAGAACATTATTGAAGATAAAATTATCATTATTCCTTGATTAAATTATCACAACCCAAAAACTAAAGATAATAGAAAAGGCAAATACACTGAAAAGCAAGTAAATCTATATAACAACAACAACAACCATCTAAAAGTTAAGAAAGTGTCTTACAAAATTATATTGAGACGGCTATCATATAAGTTACACCCAACAGATCTCTTCGGTTCTAGAAATTATCTTGTGTTTTTTTAATAATTTGTTCCCTTTCCTTACTAATCCCTGTTTACACCCGAACAGACACCATCAATAATATACAGAAATTAAACCATTATTAAACAAACTAATTAAACCACGAAATTCTTAGTGTACAATCCAATTAAAAATTACTGAATTTGTTTGGCACATGGCACTTATCGAATTAGCAGAAGAGTTGCTCATCTAGGAATTAATGACACGTCATTTTATACTGTACTTGTCTAACTCCAAATCAAAGCCAAGGGGTGCCATCTCAATTCCAAATTGCAAAATGATACCTCTTGTGATTACTTTATAAACTCATAAATCATAAATATTGTTTGAAATGATTGGTAAAATTAGTAAAAATTACCCTTAACGTTTAATTAACTAAGTAGCGGTGTATGGAGCCACATACTTCAATGTTTGTTTCAACAAATATTTCCACTGCAATATATGGTCCGTGTCAAGTCTAGT